AACATGCTTTACTGATTTCATTTAACAATACAGAGTGCAAGTGTGTCTCTATAATCCACACAATACAAAAATATCCTTATCTGTCCCATCCTGACTGCTATGGTTTAGATAAACGCTGCAGTTCCCTGAGGGGCAGCAGCAGGCCATGAAGGACAGCGGTTCCCACCACCTGAGGCCTCTGTGGGTCCCCGGGAGGTGGCGGGTGAGAGACCTCAGTGGGTCTGGGGGAGCTTCAGCAGTGAGAGACAGAGATGGACAGGCACACCATGCAGAGTGAGCATTTATGGAAGGGTTATGGAAGGAAAACAAAGGGGGAGAGAAGGAGAGAGAAAGAGAGAAGAGGGGGAGAGAGAGAAGGGAGAGAGAGAAACAGAGAGGAGAGATAGAGAAACACAGAGAGAGAAATAGAGAGGGAGAGAGGAGTAGGGGGGTGGGGAGAAGAGGCCTCAGCCACCTCTTCGGAAGAGAGATTGGGCAGAGAAAGAAAGAGTACAGGCTGGAAGTGGAAGGAAGATCTGCTTGCCTTGGTGGAATGAGGGGAGTGGGTGGGGCTTGTCTCTTAAAGGGACAGGACAGACCCCTATCAGTTCCCTGACTCAAAACAGAGACTCTAAGCTTAGACTACCTCTATCTGTACATGGCCTTGAGCTCTGTAATCTCCCTGTTGCCCTCCAGTATTCTTTTCTAGGTGTTTTAGGAATTCTTCTATTGCTGTAACGATGCAATGATCAAGACACCTTACAAAAGAAAGCGTTTCATTTGGAACTTACGGTTCCCTAGGGCAATAGAGTCCGTGACTGTCTCAGCCAGAAGCATGGCAGCAGGCATGGCATTGTGCCAGAGCAGTGTGCAAATCCTCCATCTGATTCACAAGACAGACCCTGGGAATGGTGTGGGCTTTTCTTTTTGGTTTTTTTTTTTTTTTTTTTTTTTTTTTTGAGACAGGGTTCTCTACCTAGAATTCACCATGAGGACCAGGCTGGTCTCAAAGTCACAGAGATGTCTATCTGCTCCTGCCTCCTGAGTGCTGGTATTATAAACATGTGTGCCACTATGCCTAGCTTTGGTATGGGATTTTTAAAGCACAAAGCCCCACTCCCAGTGACACATCTTCTTCCGAGGCCACACCCTCTAATCCTTCCTAAATAGTCCCAGCAACTGAAGAACTATTTAAATATGTGGGCTGTGGGAGCTAGTCTCCTTCAAACCACCACAGATACCCTTAGAATCATTGGGTGAGGGCCTTTCTAACCTACCACCATATTCTCAGCTTGAGGAACAATCTGCTATTTCCTAAAGGCTAACTCACAGGAAGGCAATGAAGTTCCAGATGGGCAGGAATTTTGGAGGACACCTTCGACCACCATTTGTGCAGCTCTCTGTAGCAGATGGCTTCATCTCAAGGTTTCCACTTTACACTCTTTAAGGCGACAGTCCCTTTCATATATGTGTCCTGTTTCCTCCTGCCTTTCTCTTTTTATTTTAAATAAATCTTTTTTTATAAATATTTATTATGTATACAATATTCCATCTGTGTGTATGCCTGCAGGCCAGAAGAGGGCACCAGACCCTACTACAGATAGTTGTGAACCACCATGTGGTTGCTGGGAATCGAACTCAGGACCTTTGGAAGAGCAGACAATGCTCTTAACCTCTGAGCCATTTCTCCAGCCCCCTCCTCCTGCCTTTCTCTAGCTTTCTTGCCAGAAAGGCTTTGCAGGCAGGAAGAAGGGGCTGGGCTGCTCTTCCAGATTTGATGAAAGAGCTCTTCAAAACTTCCAGATCTGCAGGGTTGTTTGTGTTTTGCTGTGTGGGAGACCAGATCTCGTGCACATAAGGCAATCACTCTGCCCCTGACCTAGACTCAGATTCAGGGCTGTTCTGGCTTCCTGGAGACCCATTCCTTGGGACTTTTGCAGAACACATCAGACATACTAGGGTAAAGTCCAGATGCCTGTAATCCTAGTGCTTTAGAGACCGAGGCAAGAAAATGAACATAAGCCCG